TGTGGAGAGATTGGGACTCTGATACACTGCTGGTGGGAGTGTAAAATGGTACAACCATTGTGGAAAGCAGTATGGCGATTCCTTCAAAAGTTGGAAATAGAAATAGCATTTGACCTAGCCATTCCATTACTAGGTATATATCCTAAAGAAGTGAGAGCCATGACAGGAAAAGACATATGCACACACATGTTCATCGCAGCACTATTTACAATAGCCAAAACATGGAAACAACGTAGGTGTCCATCAAGTGAGGAATGGATAACCAAACTATGGTACAAACACACAATGGAATACTATGCAACCCTAAAGAATAATGTAGAATCTGCAAAATACCACATAATGTGGATGAACCTGGAGGACATTATGCTGAGTGAAATAAGTCGATCACAAAAGGACAAACATTGTATTAGTCAGTTATTATAATAGTCAAGGAAAGGTTTATCTATGGAAGGAAATTTTCTTTTTTGGTTACCAGGAGTGGGAGGGGAGGGGAGGGAAAACTGTTAGATAGAAAGAGATAAGTATTGATTTGGGTGAAGAGAAGGGCAATGTACTAAATGTGAGTGATCAATATGGTGGCACTGAGGAAGGGGAAGACATAGAGAAGTACATGGGTGGTACAGACAACAAAGATGAACCCTTTTGCACATACAGTACTGTGTTGTCAGTGAAGGCAAACATGGGTACACGGGTGGATAGATGGGTGGATAGATGGGTGGATAGGCTGAACTAGTAGGTATGTCTATGAAGCGGGAAGTGTACATGAACATGTATAGGGTTGGCAGATAATGGTCCTATAAGTTTATGTGTATGATCTGAATTCCCAGGTGAATAGTAGAGCTGACAAGAGGCAAAGTGGTAGTCACTGCCTGGTCACAGCCAGCTACCCAGGGAGACCAAGTAGTTGAACCTGTGGGCTCGGGACCATAGTCACAGGGGACATCAAGCTCATTTGGCATAACATACTACACAAAACAATGTTCCACCTCCTACTTTGGCGAGTACAGACTGGGATCTTAAAAGCTTCCGAGCTGTCATCTAGATGTAACAACGGGTCTCTCCTAGTCCAGAGCAAAGAATAATGAAGAAAACCAAAAATTCACGGACACAATCAGT